GAGAGAGAGAGAGAGAGAGACATGGACGGGGTAGCTGCTATGTGGGGTGTTACGGACACCCCTATATATTAATTTTTTTCTACGCTACCTGCCAGGGCCCTGCGCCAACCCCCTCCCCCTCCTCCACCCCCCAAATAATTTTCTTGTTTTCTCACACACACCCCATTCTGCCCTTTTTTTTTTTTTTTTTTTTTTTTTGAAGGCACGGGGGTGTCGAAGGCCCCCGCACCACGCCCCTCCCGCCCCAATCCTGTCAGTTCTGGCCTCCACTTGGGCGGAAACCACGTGAACGGCTGCCGTGAAAGGCTGTTCACCGATTTCGGCTCCCGTGACCGGCCGGTCACATACATGGTGCTGGCACTGGTTAGAGCACCCATTGGAAATGCGCTTTGTGGTATGAGGTTGGTGGTTCAAAACTCAATTGTATGAGGTTGGTGGTTCAAAACTCAATTGCAGCCTCGCTCATGGACACCGACAGGGCGTTAGACGGCTGGACACACACCATCAACCCTACAGACACTGCTTGCGCACCACCCAAGGGTTGTCCACGGTGTTGTATGTCAGGTCTCGATGCTGCGTGGGTTGCTTGTCACTGTTGCTCATGGTTGTTCTGTTGATCTCCCCAGTCATACCACATACTATGCCTTTCGCGACTGTTGCTCAAATGGTAGAGTCTTCAGGTCACATGTCATAGATCATGGGTTCAACTCTGGCTTGGGACTTTGGGGGTTGTTCTTGTCCAGCTTGGCCTGTCATCTCTTCAACGAACACATAGTTCCCTCTCCGTAGTACTCAGTATCGCACATATCTGGCCTGGCCTTCGGGCACATACATCCCCATGATCCCCCTATACAGTTACACAGAGCACTCACAGCCTTCGGGCAGACAAACATGGCTGGTGGTCCAGTTGATGTAGCTCAGTGCTTAGAGCACCCATTGGAAATGCGCATTGTGGTATGAGGTTGCGTGTTCAAAACTCCGCATCCTTGTGCATGGACACCGGCAGGGCGTTAGAATGACACACGGCTGGACACACATTCCCTTGGGATGACGCAGGTAAGTTATTACAGACACTGCCTGCGCACCACTCAAGGGGTAGTCCACGGTTGGTGTATATGGGGACTGGGCTATGGTGGGTATCTTGATGTTCTTGTTCTATGGGGTTGTCATGAGACTGCTGGGTGGTTTGCACAGTCGGGTTTACTCGAGCCCAGCAGAGCACAGCTACAGACTATTTCACAGTGCAGGTCAGTCCCCCACACAGATACATCGCCCCCCCCCCACCCTCCGCAGGCCCTGGATCATCAGGGGAGAGGGAGGAGAAGCAACAAGGGGGGGATCAGAGGCCAAGACCGGAAAA